AAATTTGAGAGCTGTATAACTACCACATTGGCTCCTAAGGGACTGCCTCTTGACGGCCCAGAAAGTCAATGAAGAAAATGTTTAAATATCCCAAGTGACTACCGTGGCTCAACTATATGTTTATCAAGCGACGCGAATACTTTTTGTGCGAAAAAACAAACAAAAATAACGAGTTTATTCGACTATTTCTTTGCTTCCTTGTAAGCCAGAACGAGAATTCCTTATAGATTTCAACGACGCATGCGCGAGATTTGCGATCTGCTTACACCAGCTTACACTACTTCAGATCGCAATTCTCGCGCATGCGTCGTGGAAATCTATAAGGAAGTCTCGTTCTGGCCTACAAGGAAGAAAAGAAATAGTCGAATAAACTCGTTATTTTTGTTTGTTTTTTCGCACAAAAAGTATTCGCGTCGCTTGATAAACATATAGTTGAGCCACGGTAGTCACTTGGGATATTTAAACATTTTCTTCATTGACTTTTTGGGCCGTCAAGAGGCAGTCCCTTAGGAGCCAATGTGGTAGTTATACAGCTCTCAAATTTAATCAAAAATATCTTCATTTGTGTTCCGAAGACGAACGAAGGTCTTACGGGGTTGGTACAGCATGGGGGTGAGTAATTAATGACTTAATTTTCATTTTTGGGTGAACTAACCCTTTAAGCCACGGAGCAAATAAATAAGTCACAGCTTGTTTTTTGTGTTTTAACTTAATCTAGACTGTCACACTATATTTCACACACTGGTTGGCGAAAAATATAACATTAGCTATATTGAACACACACATCTGCAAAAACCACCATCAGTCGTCAGTCCAGAAAATAGTGTTTTATATTTCATGGCGGTGTAATGAGTGGAAATAAGGTGTGGCCCCTTTAACTCTTTCCCCGCCAGCGTTTTAAAAAAAAGTTGCCAGCCACCGCCAGGGTTTTTGACGATTTTCGCTAAATTTGAATGCCCCGCTGAATATTTTCTTCCATGAATATATGAAGATGATATATATAAAAATAAAGATCTGAGCCTCTGCTTTTAGGCAAAAAAAACGTTTTTATTTTATCTTCATCTGTTCTTTTTTTATTGCCTCTTGAACAGAGGTAGGTTTTGTCAAAAACACAACATTTTGGACAAAAAACTGAGAAAAAGGGATTTTTATCAAACAAGTGCATTTAAAAGCAGAATACATTCAGATGTTGTTTCCTTCATATATAAAACTTTCCAAAATAAATTAAAAACATAAAATAAATGTAAAATATATCAAATTTCCCAGGATGTAAGGGAAATGTAACTTTTGCAATAAAACTTCTGCCTCTGCCTCTCTGTGTTCTACCTGTGAATAATGAATAATTGGAATTACAATAAACAGGCCTAGACACACACACACACACACACACACAAATACATATTACAATGTGGTAAATGTGCACAAAGAGAGAAATAATTTGACAATTACACCTTCATATTTAGACAGCCACACATAAATGCCTGCACACACACATAAATATTATAGTGTCATAATATTATACGATCTATCTGCGGCACGTCCATGGCTAGAACTTTCTGTGACAACATGTGCATCTCTCTCACTGACTACTTCGTCCCGATCAGATTCAGAATTATCAAATAAAGAGTGATCGGACTCCGAGTCCATTAACCTCCAGTACTTCAGCCATATACCTCTGCATTGTCTGTCTGATACATTCTCACTACTCCACTGTTTGAGACGATTGCAATCTGTTTCTCTGATCAAAGAGTTGCGCACTCATTCAGGACATGCGCGCGGGTCTTCCTTACCGTATACCACCTAAAACACGGATACCCGGAAAATTCCGTGTTTGGCGCAGATGCGTTTTTTCATTAAACCCGGAAAATTCCGTGTTTGGCGGGAAAAGAGTTAAGAGCTGCGCGCGTCCTCTTTAACCGTCTGCACTCTTTCAGGATGCTAATCTAGCTAGTACAGTGTAGTTCGACTTTTTCAGTTTTCCTACACATTCACAGGGAACTACGATATAACTAAAAATTAAATTACCATACCTCTCAATCTACAGATTCCAGCATTTTTATCGTTGTATTTGTTGCTGTTGTAACTGTGACCGTCCACCTGTTTTACGGAGCAGCAGCAGCAGCCAGTGCGCGCATCTCATTAGTAACCTGACCTGCATGGACAAACGTCCGCTGAGCAGAAATCAGCTCTCACAGCCTCAGTACGACCATTACTGTGTTATTTAAAAATGTAAAACTGGACCTAAAACAGTTGATCAGCTGTCACCATTGATTGACAGCATTTATCTTGTTTCTTGTGTTGACGGACCAACTACCTATCAGATCTGGGGTGGCCACAGGGGTGGCCAATGAGCTTTCAGGGGTGGCCCTGGCCACCCCAGGCCACCCTCTAGAATCATAGACATAATTCATAGACGCCCTATTGGCCGCTTTGGAACGTTGCTGCGATGCGTAAACGGGTCCGCCATTTTGCGGAGGTCAAGACTGCACTGTAATTAAATGTAAGTAAACCATAGACTGTAAAAAAATATGGACGTAGTGTCCGTGACGTCACCCATAGGTTTCTGAAGAGCGTTTTTGAAGCCTAAAGTGGGCGGGGCCGGCCGTCGCCATCTTGGCAGTGCGTCACCTCTCGTCACTACCGGATAAATTAAAATGGGCAAAGAGGCGGGACGCGGGTGGAGCTGAGGTGCTAATGCTATGCTACTGCCGCTGAATTGACAGCTGATAGAAAAAGTAAAGCTGTCACAGTCTTCGTCTGCACCGTCCTGTCTTGTCATCAGCACTACACTTCCCAGGATCCTCTTGTCTCCACTTCTGAACTCACTCCCTCATCAGCCACCTGTTCCTCGTCTTGTTCATCAGTATCACCTGTCTTCACATCATTATTGTTTGATTCCTCTGTGTATTTAGTTCTCCCTCCTTCAGTCTGTGTTTGTCGGTCAATGTTGAATGTTACGCTGTATACCCCGTCTTCCTGCCTGTTTGTGAATAAAATGTCTCTTTATTGAGATTTGGACTCAGCCTCTCCTTCTGCCTGAACCCGCACCGTGACAGATTGACCGACCCAAAAGCAACATGGACGCCGTGATGTGCCGAGGGATCCTCTACCCGGTCCTGCGACCCCGGTTACGTCTCGTTCCCCGAAAGCCTGCGCTCACCGTCAGCCAGGCAAAGCTCGAGCTCCCCGCTCCGCTGGTTCCGTCCAGCCCCGCCGAGCTCGAGCTCTCTCCTCCGCTGGTCCCGCCCAGCCTCGCCGAGCCCGAGCTCTTTCCTCTGCTGGTCCCGCCCAGCCTCACCCAGCCCGAGACCGTCCACTTCCCATCTGCCCTTCATCTGGGGACTCTACCCAAATATGTTTGGGGGGGGGCCCAGTGTTCCAGCCAGCGCCAGAGACCGTCCAGCCAGCGCCGGAGACCGTCCAGCCAGCGCCGGAGACCGTCCAGCCAGCGCCAGAGACCGTCCAGCCAGCGCCAGAGACCGTCCAGCCAGCGCCAGAGACCGTCCAGCCAGCGCCAGAGACCGTCCAGCCCGCGCCAGAGACCGTCCAGCCAGCGCCAGAGACCGTCCAGGCCGCGCCAGAGACCGTCCAGCCAGCGCCGGAGACCGTCCAGCCAGCGCCAGAGACCGTCCAGCCAGCGCCTGAGACCGTCCAGCCGGCGCCTGAGACCGTCCAGCCGGCGCCAGAGACTGTCCAGCCAGCGCCAGAGACCAGGATCCCACCCAGCCTCCCTCTCCCGCCTCCTCTCATCTGTCCTCGCTCTGCTCTCCTGCCCTTCAGCTCCCCTAAACCAGCCTGGTCCGAGTATCCCCGGTGTTCGCCTCACTCCGCCTCCACATGGACACTTCCTCGGCCCTCTGTCCCATCAGCTCCCCCGTGGCTCCTACCTCCCTCAGCTCCTCCATGGCCCCTCAGTCCACCAGCTCGGCCAGGCTCCCTCGGTCCTCCGGATTCCCTGCACTCCATCGTCATCCTCCCCTCACCTATGGACTTCCTTACTTTGGCTCCGCCCCGTTTTGTCACCCCTTCGGTTCAGTTGGACTCCTCACTCCCTCCAGTCACCCGTCAGCCCTCACGCCCTCTGACCTCACCGTGTCCCTCTGTGCCCCTGTCAGCACTTCAGTCACCAGAGCCTGCGGTGTCCCCATGTTCCCTCGGTCCCTCATCAGCACCACACATCGTCTGTCCCTCAGCTTCACCTTCGTCTCCTCTCCCATCCGCTCCGCCCCTGTCAGTCGGCCCCCTGGTGTTGTCAGCCCCACTACCATCGGCTCCACCAGGGGTCCTCCCTCCAGCTGCTCCGCCCTGGTCTCACCCTCCATCTGCTCCGCCCTGGTCTCGCCCTCCATCGGCTTCGCCCTGGTCTCGCCCTCAGCCTGCTCCGCCCTGGTCTCGCCCTCAGCCTGCTTTGCCCTGGGGACGCCCTCAGCCTGCTCCGCCCTGGCCACGCCCTCAGCCTGCTCCGCCCTGGCCACGCCCTCAGCCTGCTCCGCCCTGGCCACGCCCCGCCCAGCCCCCAGTTCGTCCCCCCTCCTTCCTCTGTTATGCGGCGTGAGGTCACGCCTCCCGGGAGGGGGGAGTTCTGTCACAGTCTTCGTCTGCACCGTCCTGTCTTGTCATCAGCACTACACTTCCCAGGATCCTCTTGTCTCCACTTCTGAACTCACTCCCTCATCAGCCACCTGTTCCTCGTCTTGTTCATCAGTATCACCTGTCTTCACATCATTATTGTTTGATTCCTCTGTGTATTTAGTTCTCCCTCCTTCAGTCTGCGTTTGTCGGTCAATGTTCCATGTTACGCTGTATACCCCGTCTTCCTGCCTGTTTGTGAATAAAATGTCTCTTTATTGAGATTTGGACTCAGCCTCTCCTTCTGCCTGAACCCGCACCGTGACAAAAGCCAATGGTTAAAGTTCATGTTTTGCCCTTTGAAATATTATAATAGTTAAGACGTAACTAAAAGTGAGACTATTTACTTGACTTTTTTTATCATCAGGACATTTTTATTGTGGTTGTTGTTGAGGATAACCCCTTGAGATGAAACATCTCGTTTTCGAGGGGGTCCTCGAGACAAAACAAAAATAATACAACACATGTACTGTACATTCACTCACACAAAAGCTCTACCTCATCCCACCTCGCCCCACCCACCCACTCACCCCTCCAGGCCCATCAACTCCTTATTAGGAACAAATCCATATATAAAACATATTGCATTATTACAATGCATGACAACATTTAGCCCTCACATACACATCTATACATGCAAGCAATACATACATAATATATATGTAAACCTAAATCCATATTCTACACATAATAAAGAGTAGAATAAATAAATAAATAAATAAAAAATAAATAAAAATAATAATAATAATAGAAAAATAAGATATAATAATAATAATAGGTGTCACAGATATAAAGGGTATATGAAACAATATCCAGTCACACATGTGGAAAACATTTACAGCAATCATTTGCTTGCAACTAAGTAAAAAGAGATATTTTGAAAGAACGCAGTGATGTGACAGATCTTAAAGACCCAGGCAGGTTATTCCAGTCTGAAGGGGCTTTGAATTTTGGTAGGCACGCCTACCACTCTCTTTGAAAATATTTGGCACAATGAAAGAGAGATATTCAGCGTGTCTCAGTCTATAGTTGGATCTAAATGGACGTAAATATTCCTTCAGATAAGAAGGGTAATTATAATACACACATTTAAAGATAACCTGATACCAGTGATACTGTCTTCTGGCTTTTGGTGATAATAAGTCCAGTGAATCATACATTACACAGTGGTGAGTGGTAAAAGGACATCTCAGCACAAATCTACATATGTTATTAAATACAACATTCAATGCCTTCAAGTTTGATTCTGTTGTGTTTTGATAGACAACGTCTGCATAATCTAATATGGGAAATATTAACTGTGACACAATTCTTAGTCTAATCATTTGAGTAAAACAATTAATAGAGCGATACAGTATTCGTAAATTCCAATTAATCTTTTTTACAACAGAATTTATATGACACCTAAAGGAGAATTGTGAGTCAAGCCAGAGGCCCAGATATTTGAGTTCCTCAACTTGTAAAAGTGGAGTATCGTCTAAAAATTTGAGTGAAAGATTATTATGTTGATTCATTGAAGCTGATCTGGTAGGAAATTCTTCTTCTTATTCAATAGAAGATGGTTTGATTGGAACCAAAGTTAAATGGCATTAAAATTAGATTGCAATAAGGATTGAATCTTGGAGACAAACATATTGGATGTATAAATCACTGTATCATCTGCATATAGATGGATACAACAGTCTGAGCAAATTAAAGGAAGATCATTGATAAATAAAGAAAATAGAAGAGGCCCTAAAGAAGAGCCTTGAGGGACACCTTTGTCCATTATTAAGGACTGTGATTCAAAACCATGAAAAGAGACACGCTGATATCTACCATGAAGGTAAGAGTTAAACCAGAGAAGAAAATCTTTAGTAAGACCTATCGCATATAGTTTATCAAGAAGCAAATAATGATTGACCATATCAAAGGCCTTAGTGAGATCTATAAATATTGCACCAGTTGATTTGTTATTGTCTAAGGAAGATGACACATCATTGGTAAATTTTAGAAGAGCAGTGGTTGTAGAAAAGTTTGGTCTGAAACCAGATTGATTTGGAGACAGAATAGAAAAATCATTAATATATTTGAATAATTGATTAAATATAATTTTTTCAAACACTTTTGCTATACTACTGATGATGGAAATAGGTCTATAGTTGTTAATATCAAGTGGATCACCACCCTTATGTATTGGTGTAACTCTGGCAGACTTCCACATAGATGGGACCACACAGGTAGACAATGATAAATTAAATAAATCTGTTAAGGGGAACGCCAGTACATGAGATGCAAGCTTAATAAATTTAATCTCCAGGCCGTCGGGATCTGTACCATTGCCTGACTTTAATTCGGAAATTACGTGCTGAACATCAGTAGGATTTATTGTAGCAAATGAAAATGAACTAGTAACCCTATCTGCTTAACTAGAGTTAGAGAAATTAGAAAATTGCGAACTACAAATAGAAGAAAAGTGTAGGTTGAAGGGATTGGCGACTGCAGAAGGGTCACTAATAACATCATTATTGACTTTAATTTTAGTAGCAATATTTTTTGTAGAATTATTTAATAAAGAATTAATGCTTTCCCAAAACTTCTTAGGCTTATGGAAATTATTTGACAAAAAGTTTGTATAATAATTTGATTTGGCATTTCTTGTTTTAGTCGTACACTTATTTCTTAATTGTTTATATACAGCCCCTTCTGAAAGATCCTTTGACTGGCGGTACTTTTCCCATGCCTTATCTCTTTGTTTAAAAAGATAAATTAAATCAGCATTAATCCAAGGTAAGTTATCAACTTTATTAATCTCACAAGGGGCAATTAGTTAAGAGTATACAAGTACATAAACACAGATCACACACATTTCTCACAACATACAAGCAGTCAACTATGTGCATCATGATGCATTATTATTCTGCTAGTTAAAAATGTATTAATTACTTACAATATTGCTCTAAGCTTGTGCACAGTGCATGTGACAGTGATTCAAGGCAAGCACATGTCACAGGTCGAGGGGAGGAACGCTCGGGTGACCAACCACCCCCCCTCTAACCGAGTCACCACCGTGAGGAGCCGACACCACAGGCACACAACAGAGGACCACAGAGACAGAGATAAGTTTCAAAGGAGTAACAATCTTTATTAAACCAGGGGTTTCTCACAGTTTAAGATACTCTCGTTGATGCACGATAATGGAGCAGGGGGTTGCAGCTTACTTCTCCCCAGCGGTGCTGCAGACTTCCAGACTCACGAGTAAGTATGACAGGTAAGGATTCTTCACGGTACAAGGTACTCTCGTTGGTGCACAATAATAAAGCAGTGGATTAAAGGCTTACTTTTCCCCCAGCGGTGCTGCAGACTTCCAGACTCAGACAGTAAGTATGGCAGGTAAGGATTCTTCACAGTACAGGGTACTCTCGTTGGTGCACAGTAATGAAGCAGTGGATTAAAAGCTTACTTCTCCTCAGCGGTGCTGCAGACTTCCAGACTCAGACAGTAAGTATGGCAGGTAAGGATTCTTCACAGTACAGAGTACTCTCGTTGGTGCATGATAATAAAGCAGTGGATTAAAAGCTTACTTCTCCTCAGCGGTGCTGCAGACTTCCAGACTCAGACAGTAAGTATGGCAGGTAAGGATTCTTCACAGTACAGAGTACTCTCGTTGGTGCACGATAATAAAGCAGTGGATTAAAAGCTTACTTTTCCCCCAGCGGTGCTGCAGACTTCCAGACTCAGACAGCAAGTATGGCAGGTGAGGATTCTTCACAGTACAGGGTACTCTCTCTCTCTTCAGTTCACAGTAGGGCGACAGTGGGTTAAATGATTACTTTATCAGCGTTGCTGTATACCTCTGGGCTCAAACAGTAAGTAGAACAGGTGAGGATATTCACAGTACACAGTACTCTCTCTTCAGTTCACAATAGGGAGACAGTGAGTCATAAGGTTACTTTACCAGCGATGCTGTGTGCTTCTGGGCTCAAACAGCAAGTAGAACAGGTGGGGATCTTCACAGTACAAAGTACTCTCTCCTCAGTTCACAGTAGGGCGACAGTGGGTTAAACGATTATTTTACCAGCGATGCTGTATGCTTCTGGGCTCAAACAGTAAGTAGAACAGGTGAAGACATTCACAGTACACAGTACTCTCTCTTCAGTTCACAATAGCACTCTGGGCTTCTGACGGGGGCAGATATAATATCCTTCCACGAACGTGTAAGCATGGATAGGGGCCACTTCTCAACAAAGACACAGCACACTTGTGTTCACTTCAATTCCACAGCAGTAAATCAATGTGTATTAATAAGGCAAAAAGCACTGCAATTCACTCACACGATAGGGTTGGACAGAGGCCCCACTCCGTCCGTTGCGCTCGTTTACAGGGGTTTCACTTTTAATTCCTCCTCATCACACTCTGAAACACATAGCTTCTCCAACCGTCAGATCCACATTCACTATATCCTCTTCAAGCGGTTCAAATGTCCATAAGATGAAAACAATTCACTTATCTTTCCTCTCTCCTTCCACAGCACAGATCCAGTCCTAGCTCGGTCCAGCAGTCTTCCCACAAACGATCACTCTGACCCAGCAAACTCGAATGGGCGATCTCCACACCCCAACGATTTTTCAGAGGAAGCCTGTATCCAGCACTGCCCAGAGTCAACCCACTTTAATGTCTGATCTTGTCAACCCTTTGGAATCTTGACACACTGTACACCCACCGACCGCGCTGCAAACACTCTCTAAATGCCCCTTTTATATCGTGGCTTATGAAACAGGGAGTCTGTGTGAGTGCCGCTCCTCTCTCTCTCACACCTGCAATGCATTAGCGCTAATCAGTACGGGCATGTTTCCATCACACCCGGAACCGTAGTGGAGTGTTGCACCCAATACGTTCCCCTAGGAAACTCAGGACTCTCAAGAAGGTTCCGTTTACTGAGCGATTTTGTCACCCGTGACATCCCCCCTTGCCAATCGGTTCCAGTCCCTGGAACTGGCGTCCCTCAATTCCATTCGCCGTACCTCTCAGATGGTTGTCCTCGGGTGTTCCGTTGAGATCGTCGGGGTGGCGAGGGCAGAGCCGCTCTGGCTTCAACCTCAGGGTCCCTCGGGACCACAGCCCACCCTATCATAGGTGCCTTTAAGGCGGGTGGTGCGCTTGGGGCTTCAGCCGCTAGTTGCGGGTAGTTCGGACAGGGACGGAGCAGGTTTCGATGGAGCACCCGTATTGGTCCTGGCTTCCCTTCGGGCCGTAAAGAGTAGACGGGGGCATCAGGCCCTTGTCGTTGTTCCACCACATATGGTGTCGACTCCCAGCGGTCGCTGAGCTTCCCTTTCCCTGGGCGCCGGTTGTCCCGTACCAGCACTCGCTCCCCAGGTAACAAAGGGGCCTCTCGGGCAGTCCGGTCGTATAGTCTCTTATTCTTGGCGGCTGCTGCACTCAGATGGTCTGAGACTCGTCTGTAGGCATTGAGCAGTTGGTGGTGGTGCTGATTTGCCCAGTCAGTGGTACTATACCCTCTTTCCG